GCCTACATGCAGAAGGTGCAATATCTTTATCTTACAGAGTGGTGTTCCTACAACAACCTGGTCCTTAACACTGCAAAAACAAAGGAGACTGTTTTTGACTTCTGGAGGTCTAGGAAAAAGCAAGCATTCTGTCCTCTACACACAAGGGGGGGGGGGTAGAGAGAGTTAAAAGCTTTAAATTCCTAGTTGTTTACGTCACAGTGCATCTCAAGTGGTTGGTGAATGCTTCTCACCAAGAGATGAAAGACCAACAAAGACTGTCCTTCCTCAGAAAGCTAAAATAACATCTCCTCCCTCAGCAGTTAATGGTAAATTTCTATTGTGCCACCACTGAGAGCATCCAGTGTGGTATGTTGGTTTACTTACATCGCGTGGTAAAGACAGCTCAGCAAGTCATTGGAACTACATTCCTAACACTAGAAGATTTCCAAAACATTAAAACCACTGACAGGTGAAGTGAATAACATTGATTAACTTGTATCAAATGACACCTGTCAAGGGTGCCATTATATATTAGGCAAGTGAACAGTCAGTTCTTGAAGTTGATGTGTTCGAAGCAGGAAAATGGGCAAGCATAAGAATCTAAATGACTCTGACAAGGGTCAAATTGTGATGGCTAGACGACTGAATCAGAACATCTCCAAAATGACAGGTCTTGTGGGTGTTCCTGGTATATAGCAGTCAGTATCTACCAAAAATGGTCCAAGGATGGCCATCCAGGGAACCAGCAATGGGGGCATGGGCCAACAACGGAATGCAAAGACTAGCCCATCTGATCCGATCCCACAGGAGAGCTACTGTAGCACAGATTTCTGAAAAGGTTAACGCTGGCTATGATAGAAAGGTGTCAGAACACACAGTGTGTCACAGCTTGCTTCGTATAGAGCTGTGTAGCCACAGACGAGTCAGAGTACACATGCTGATCCCTGTCCACCATGCACAGCACCTACAATGGGTAGGTGAGGGTCAGAGCTGGACCATGGAGCAAAGAAACAAGGTGCCCTGCTCTGATGAGTCATGTTTTCTGGTACATCATGTGGGTGGCCAGATATGTGTGCATCATTTACCTGGGGAAGAGGTGACACCAGGATGCACTACAGGAAAATAGCAAGCCAGCAGATGTAGTGTGATGCTCTGCGCAATGTTCTTTTGGAAAACCTTGGGTCCTGGCATTCATGTGGATGTTACTTTGACACATACCACTTACCCAAACATTGTTGCAGACTAAATACACCCCTTTATGGCAACAGTATTCCCTGATAGCAGAGATGATATGCCCTGCCACACTGCAAAAATTGCTCAGAAATAGTGTGAGGAACATTAAATAGAGGTCAAGGTGTTGACTTAGCCTCCAAAATCCCCAGATTTCAATCTGATTGAGCATCTGTGGGATGTGTTGCATAAACAAGTCCAATCCATGGAGGACCCACCTCACAACTTACTAGATTTAAAGGATCTGCTGCTAATGTCTTGGTGTCAGATACCACAGGACACCTTCAGAAGTCTTGTGGAATCGATGCTTCAATGGGTCAGAGCTGTTTTGGAAGGACGTGGGGGACCTACACAATGTTAGACAGGTGGTTTCAATGTTATAACTGGTTGGTGTACAATGGCCAACTCCAAAAGAAGGCCAGTGGCATTAACAACGACTCAACACGCTCTGGACACCAGTTTGCTGCCCTTCCCTCTAGAAAACAAAACAGGACAGTCAAAACCAAAACAAACAGACTCAAGAGCAGTTTCTTCCCAAGAGCTGTTATTTCTGTAATCCCTCCATTACACAAGGCTGATGAAAAAGACTTAGTATTGCAAACATCACTGACTGGTTTTGACTCAAGAGTAATTTATTGACATATATTTTGTATATTATGCCACCTTGGAGAATAAGCCAAACAAAATGTCTGGCAGTGTCTGTGGCTTCTTTGTTCGATGTTTTTAGTGTATCCTGTGTATTGCTTAATAAAATTCCTGTAATCACATTTGGATTGCAGGCATCCTTCGCCCATGTCTGGCTCTTTCTGAAAAACTGAAACTACCAAAATTCTAAATAGTGTAATGTGAATGTCAACCGCACACATACATATATATTATGTAAGTACAAGGGTGTTGTTAGGGCTGTTTTACGGGGCTTTAGCCAAAATGTTCTGCACCCCCCATATAAATGTACCCCAATTAGTTTAGATGGTGTTCTCATTGATCTTCATTAAAATCACACTGCACTTGTAAAGCCCCCCCTTTCCATAAATTTCTAATGATACTTCCAGAACTTAATGATTCAAAATGAGATGTGTATTTATGAAAAATAAGCTAAATATATCATAAAATCAAATGTAAATCTTAAGCAGGTTAGGTGGAAATGCACCCTAGTAATCAAATAAATCAGCAATCAGTAATTACATTACTGCTACAAGTTGGGAGTAAATTATAAAAAATAAGCCATTGCTCAGAACACTGATAAATAGAGTGATGTCAGATCTCCTAGAAAAGTCTATTTATAATCCTGTCATTACCATGTCAAAATGGATGGGACATTATAGTGGCCTTGAAATTGAAAGGGGGCATGTGTTCAAAAGTGTAGCCTGCAAAAATGTGTGATTTTTTTAAAAAGATTTTTTTAAGAATGAGAGGTAAACTTTTTTTCTCGATTCCAGTAAGCAAACCATTTTGGATGCTTGCTTAAAAAAGTGTGTATAAATCATTGCAAACATGCACTGGAAACTCCATTTACTACATTACAATATGAACCAACAGGCAAGTCAAGTCAAGGCCCTTATCTATTACATCCTGTTAGACCCTTTGCTGCAATTTAGTGGTCCTGAACATTTTAATTAAGAGCAAAGGATGTGTAAAAACAGTGTTTTCATTAATATATGTAATATTATTATGCTGATAAACCATGCATTATACATTTTGAAATGCACGACTTGCCAATAACGTAGCTTTTTTTTAAAGACATTACTTTCATGTTTATGAAAATTTCCAAATAGGCTTGGGTGGTATTACAGTAATGCAGCAAACCACTGTATTTTATGAGAAACTGTATCATGGGGTTTGCTTAAATAAGTCCCAAGCCACCACTATTAATAAAAAAAAAATAGCCCACTGCTAGTTATTATTTATGTACAAACATGAAAGCCAAATGTGTAGTAAGCATGGCACAGCAGATTATTGCGGTCCAAGCCATGCATTATATGTTATTATTTATTGGACATGTTTGCACAGCACATCCCACAGATGCTCGATCAGATCTGGGGGATTTTAAGGCTAAGTCAATACCTTTAACTCTACTTCATGTTTCTCAAAACATTCCTGAACAATTTTTGCAGTGTGGCAGGGGCACATTATCCTGCTGAAAGAGGCCACTTTCAATTTCAATTATCGTTGCGTTATGAAGTGGTATACTTGGTCTGCAGCAATGCTTGACTAGGTGGTACATGTCAAAGTAACACCCACATGAATGCCAGAACCCAAGGTTTCCCAGCAGAATATCATCCTGCCTATATCAGCTTGCCATATTCCCATGGTGCATCCTGGTGCCATCTCCTCCCCAGGTAAAGGATAAACACACACACCCAGCTGTCCATGTGATGTAACAGAAAAGGCGATTTTTAAGATCACGCCACCCTCTTCCATTGCCCATTGGTGGTGGACACGGGTCAGCGTGGGCAATCTGATCAGTCTGAGGATACACAGCAAACTGCAATGCATTGTGTTCGGATACAAAAAGCAAGTTGAGGGAGGTGTAAAAAAATAATTTCTCCACGGGGACAATAAAGGATCGATGATTATTATTATTATTATTATTAGTAGTAGTAGTAGTAGTAGTAGTAGTAGTATTATTATAGCCCACATTAATTTTCAGCAATTTATGCTATAGTTGGACCAGACAAGCTAGCCTTCACTCCCCATGTGCATAAATGAGCCTTGGGCGTCCATGCCCGAATCAGTGGTTCACCGGTTGGCCTTCCTTGGACCATTTTTGGTAGATACTGTCCACTGCTAGATACAGTGAACACCCCACAAGACCTGCCATTTTATATATGGTCACCCATTGTTTTAGACAGTATGCAGAATGCCTACGTATGTATCCTCTTCAGCACAATTGATAATAAAAAAATATAAAAGAATATCTATATTTAGTTATTTCTCCTCTTGTAGTATTTCCCAACCCAAAAATACTTAGCCATGTGCATGCCTTTTTCAAACTGACTGCCACTATTTAGGAGTATGAAATCAAAATGATTTCATTATGAATTTGGGTGCAAGTTCCTAACAATGTCACCCCTGCTCTGTTACCATGTACAACATGTCTATCATTCTCCGCTCCATCAACACAAAACAAAAGTCATTCCCTTTCCTGCCCAGGGGCTGAAACGTTGAATCCAGGGCCTATTTGTACAGCGCGTTGGTGTGAGCATGCACGAGTGAACAGAGACACATGCGTTGACAAGTACAAAACCTGCTCTGTCGTGTGCATCGGCGCCCATATGCAAAATCTATCCAGTGCATTCTTCTTTCTGCCAGACGGATACATGCCCTCTAATGACTGCACTGCCCTCCACGCCCAAGGGCATGATGCACTGGTGAGTCGAAGAGGAAGACAAAAGTCTCTTTTACTTCTAAACCTCTTTTCTTCTTTCTCCTACTTGACTGGGACCTCGGCCTGTCATACACAATTCAATAGAGCGGCTATCCTAGTAATGCATATACATTCTGAGCAATGGGCAAAGAAATCTACAATGACCACATAGTTTGGAGGGTCATTCTGTTGACCTTGCAAGCTGCCAACACAGAACCTCTCTTGATCAATTGAAATATAAATGCCTTGGACATTCATCTTCTGTTCTGATGATGATACCAGGGGCTGACAAACAGGTAACTGCTAAATGTCATGCTCTGTCATGGGCAGTGAAAAGGTAGCCCATTAAGCTAGTGTCTGTGAAATCACGAGCATTGGCACAAAGGCGACAGCATGGACTCGTGGACTGACTCGGCCTCACCTTGGCACACAGTGTCTTTAACTTTGCTGCAGGGTTGCAACTCTACATCCAGGATGCTGTCACAGATGGAGCAGGGCAGGCAGGGATCCAGAGAGCTTTCCTGGTCTGAGTAGGTCTCATCGATACATTCCTCGCAAATCGTGTCACGATCATGCTCACATCGCAGCAGCACGCCCATGCCCACAGGGCACAGCGTGCAGGGCTCACATTTTCCTGTCATCTCACTCATGAAGTAGCCATAGTCGCACGCGCAGATGGCGTCATTGGAGTCGGTGCATGGCGTAAGCATCCGCATTAGGCCCGTGCACTTGGTGCAGGGCTGGCAGACCTCCGTATGACTGTAGTTCTCGGAGAAGGTCTCGCCTGGGGAGAGAAAAACACTGCGTGAGACAGGGAGCCTGGTCACCGGCCGCAAATAAGCCATATTTTTGCCTGCGCTAATCTGTTATTCTCTGAGGTGGGTCGGGAGGAGGGGTTAAATAATGGAAAATATGTAATCAATATTTCATGTTTGCAGGGAGTTATGTTTGGGTATAATAGGAAATGCTAAATTATGCAGCAGGCCTCTTTCTCCGAGCAGTGGCAAGTAGAGAGCTGGGTCTGCAGGGAGTTATCGCTTAGGGTACCAGAGCATATGTGGCCCCGCAGTACTCAGCCAGAAACTAGGCCACTTCCACTCTTTTAGGCTCGACAGCCACAGCTTATACTGCACATATGCTTATACTTTTTTCAAAAGATGCTTTTCCCAACTTTAATATGACCATAAGGATTATTAGTTTTTATGTCTTTCAGCAAGAACAAGCTGTGTAGAGTTAAATTTCATTGTATATTGCTTTTATATTTATTATATGCTGTAAAGATGCATACAGCAACACACATCACATACAACACAAGTCCTAAATATTATTTCCAGCATGCGCTACATAGTATAACCAATAGAACAGTGTGGTCTTCACTTCCCATAGCTGTCATTAGTCACCCACTCTTTCTTATTATTTCTCTACACTCAACCACTCCTGGAATCATTTAGCCATGATTGCAGACTGTAGAAAACATTCAGTTTTTTGCCCATAAGTCATGCTTTTTGCTATTGTCCCTCAATGAAAAACTAATTCATATCAGTAAAAAACACAGACTTCTCTAGATAATGGCTCCGGTATTTTGGCTTGTAAATCATGAAAGGGGAGCGATCAGACCCCAGTGTTGCCGGGTATAAAAATGACTTGTGCAGACAAGCGTGTGCAATGCAGAAGATGAGGAATACATAACTGCTCCCCGTGCTGCAACAACACAGCTGTAAGCGGGCAAAAACTGTGGCTAAAAGGAAGTACAGATTAAGCAGCTCATGAGGATGTGCTGACATGTTGGCAGACTGGGCATAAACTGATGAAAACATTTAAAAAGATATTTTTATAAAGGATTTACTCAGATTAAGCTACTCACTCATCCCACTTTCACAGTAGGGTTTTATAAGTATTCATATCAACTGAAATCTAAAAAGTCACGTGTCCCCCACCACCCACCCGTCAGTACATCTAATCCATGAAATTTGTCATATACAGCATTACTATTCAAAATAATTAACAACGCACAGATGATATATTATTTTCATCCTATTTTAATGGCCCTGTCTGTTAACAAGGATTTTATGAGTCTCTACAAGCCTGTATTTGGACGTCGCAATGTGATAAACATCTCAGTACCATCGTGAGCATGACCAGTGTTCTTCTTCCTAGATGTTCATGGAGAACTGAAGATGGGATACTATGGGAAAGGGATGCATTCCTTTCCAAATAAGTCCATTTGCTGGTTTAATGGAGCCACCCACATGTCAGGAATAGCTTTGGGGGAGGGCTGTGACTGGGGGAGCATGCATTTGCTGCAGTGGAAATGTACCCACTTAGCCTTTTTGTCCCCTCCTTACCTTGACCCCCACTCTTTAAACGTCCACCCCACAGCATTTATCTTTGGGCCATTACCATAATTTTGCCCATTAATAATGCATATCAATACATCAATAAAGTCCATACTGAGCTGTTAATGGCCTCTTTTATGACCACTGCTGCAGACTTCTTTAGGCGAGGTATAAGATGTGAGCTTACTGCTGTTTCTTCTCTAAATTTACCAGAAAGTGCTACTTTCTACACACTGCAGAATAGTTTGGAATACACTACAAGGGTGAGGCTTGGGTTTCCGGTCATTTCGCCTGGCTCCATTTTGTCCAAAGTGGCTGTCTCTTATTTTCCTCCCAGCTACAAAGTTGGCTAATTTCTCCATCCCGTTAATGTTTCAAATGTGCCTTATTTATTTCTCATTGTCAGATCACCGGACAGAAGACACTTTCTCAGGAAGCTTTTCTTTGCCTCTCTGCGCTTCTACTTCTGAAGTGTATGTGAGTCATTCCACCAGCATACTGGCCTCTGCAGCTTTCTTCAGGCTTGATCTCTGAGCTGGTTGACACAGCAGATTTGGCCTCGGTTTTGAATGGGATCTTTGACGGGATCTAAGCTATAGTCTACAATGTTCAACACCTTGCACAAGACACACCATTACAGACTGTAAAGAACAGCTCTTCCTTGTGCCTGCCAGCAAGCTTTTTTGCATTTCTTTGAAGATGTTTGTTTGCCATTAAAAACATTCATACAGATGCCTTTCAGACTGTAGTTCAGTACGATATAACAATAGTACTACATACTAATTGTATTTGCATTCTCTAGGGTCTATGGAAAAGCTAATTTCATAAAGTCACACAAATACCCGTTCTGAATTTTGTTGGTAGCTACAGGAAATATTTTCAATTATGTATTTACACAGAACAAGTATTTCTCTTCTGAGTCACGTCAACCTTTTCATATACAGTAGCCTTTGGCAAACTAAGAAGCAGCACATTTTGCCATAAACATACTTGTTTTTGGCAGATGACTGGTTTGTCTTGTTTTGCGTAAAGAGTGATTTATGACAAATAAAAAATATGTCAAAGTAAAAGCAAAACAAATCGATGACTTCTCTGTTGTTTGTTTACATTTCTCATGCTGATTTTGACTGTCGACATACTACAGTAGATTTTTCCTAATAGCAAATATTAAAATGATCAATGAGTCAATCTACAATTAATCATATTATGTGCTTTTGTGCCAATTTTGGTTTGGATCTATAAAGCATGCCTTAGGTATGGCATTCAGGTAAGCAAGGCTTATCTATCTGACCTGTCAGCAGGACAAAATGGCCAAGGATCTCTCAAGGAATGCAATCCCTTTAATTCCAGATAATCACTTTAAATTAAGATAAGAATCCTCATTGTCTGCCCATGTCAAAATCTCAGAGAGAATGCCAGAGGTAACTATCAGCACTGGATACAACTATGCATATTAATGAATGTTTAATTAAATTTAATTAAATTAAGCATAAGTCATATTTTAGTAAAAAAAAAAAAAACAGTGAAGACTATTCTTTAATTTGTGAATAAAGTAGCAGTGGAAGAAAAAACATGAAATATTATTAGTACAATATGACAAACTTGTATTTATGAATAGCATGGATGAAAACTTGTTTGCATTGCAAGGAGGCAGACAACCGCACAGTAAAATTCTGGGTTTGAACCCCCCCACCCCCCAACCAGGCATGTAGCCAGGTAGTAAAATAACGAGTTTGTACCCTACTCGAAAACTGCCGGACCCCCCTTGAAATTTATTTCTGGCTATGGGCCAATAGGCCAGACTGCAATTAATAAGCTTGTTCTGCTAAAAAATACAATATCTATCCAGAATAAAATGCATTGACTTATATAAAAGTTCCACATTACAGCATAAAATACAAACAGCTGGACATACACTTATGCGATAATAACAACTTAAAGTAGCAAATATTACTTATCCATTGATTTAATTTGGCTATTATTCTACGCCAATACACATACACATACACATATGCATATGTGCTTCCCCCAGCAGAAAATAGTCTCCCACAGTGCTGTACACACCCGACATTCTGACAGAAAATATCTTATTGGTCTGACAGGAAACAGCTTTTTTGCCTAAAATCCAGCACTGCCAGCTTCTTGTGGGAGATCTGCTGATGTCAGTCTGAATTAACCGCAAAGGTGCATATGTGCAGGAAGCGCCGCTGCGTCACTGGGTGACTGTCCGCTCACATGGTGCCGGTGGCAGGAACGGCGCAGCGAAAAGCCGCAGCCTCCCACGAATGTGCATTTTTCACCTCTGATGATTTAGCGAGATACAGTTTACTGCTGAAATAGACTGAGCTGTACAACACACTTACAAAGCAGTCAGAGAGAGGGAAAGCAGATAGGAATTGTCCAGGGATCAGCCTCTATATCGAGAGACAAGGAGGAGTGCCAAGCTCAGCTAAAGACAATTCCAGCTGAAATACTGTAATTCAGCCCTTTATATCTCTGAAAATGAAGGCGAACTTTCACTTCCTGTCTGTGCTAAAATTCCTGCATTTGTATAAAATTACGGGTATCATCTGTTTGCTTATCTGTTTTGAATCATAACTAATACCATTCTTGTCAGCCTCCAACCATAGCCCCGATAGCCATTGGAAAGCCTATTGCAAAATCTTCCAGAGCTGACAATGAAGTTAAAACCCTGTTCCCTAAAAAGAGAGTTTTTCTGTTACTTTAGGACATGCTACTGAAGTAGTTAAAAAGGTTGGTAACCATCTTGGGCATTTTATAAGTTTTCTGGTGATTGCCTATAATTGTGTTTAATTGGTGGTTTTGGTGAGGTACACTGTGGCCACCGAAGATGTGTGGTTTAGGTACTATGGTGACTCGAAATTGCCCAATTTGTGGGCAGCACTGTGGTCTCACACCTCTAAAGTTTCAGGCTTGATGCTGACCCCAGTACTTTGTATGTGCGGAGTCTGCATGTCCTCCTCAACTTCACATGGGTTTGCTTCCACAGTCCAAGACATGTAACTTGATGTGATGTCTCTAAATTGCCCATATTGTGCGAGCATGTGCCCTATGATCGCATCCAGGATATCCATAGCTTCATGTCCAGCGATACATTGGATAGGTTCCAGGCTCATCAAGGTATCAAATGGAATAACTGGTTATGAGCCATGGGTGGAGTTTATGGATAAAACTCTTTTCGCAAAGAATTTGTGAGTCACCTTAAATTATGGCCAGAAAACACACTTTGAATATTTTTATTTTCAAAATGAAATGCACTTATACTGTCTTATTCAAACTAGCCTTTGCAAAAGCACAATACAGGCAGTAATGCTAGTACGCAGGTTTCCAAAAAACAAATTTGTTAAATGCGATTATTGAGTATAACGTGAATCTCCACTAGCTTTTACATAACTTCATCACCAGTATGTTTAGATTTTGCATAGTGGAGAGTCACACCTGAATGTGCCCTCTCTCCGGAGAGGGATATTCAGTTAGCCCACATGCTTTGTTTTGGAAGTGCTCATTTTTAGGGATGTAACAAAAAACTGTTACAAACTGGAAATCCGGTCTACAGAATGGCTGCATTGATTCAAGACCCCCAATCCGGCTCAAATTTAGAAGGAAATCGGACAAAAACCGATAAAGCTGTCACAAATCGATTCAACAGTCGCGTCAGTATTACTAAATATTACAGTAATGTTTTTTCATTCTGAGATCAACATCACTTACCAAGAGCCTCAGACCATTTTTGTAGTGCCAAATAAACAGTGACATGTTTTGAAAAAACATTCTGAATATGATTTTACTTCAGAAGTAGGACACATAAAGACAATATATCAAAATCATATCCAGAGCAGAATCAAGTCAATTTGAATCTTTACATGGTTAACTGGATGTGTTTTTATATTATATTATCTGAGGGAGAGATGCACACGTTCTCTATGCATCCAGGCATCCATCCATCCATCCATCCACCTTCTAACAGCTTATCTTGGTCAGTGTCATAGCATGGGCTCGTACCCATTTTCACAAAATCCATTTCAGTGTCATTAAAAAAGAAGAAAAATGGTAACATTCAAAGATGTTAACATTATATGTAATGGTCAGGTTGAGTTTTCATGTTCCCAAGTGTATTTTTCCCATGTCCTGTTATTTTTATTGAGAGATTTTGTGTAACTCGAGGTTTTTCGGGAATGCACAACAAAAATGCCTATATGTGTTTTGTATTAGCTGCAAATAGTTATTCTGTGAGATTTTTTCTTCTGTTTTTACACTTGCTTGTGGTTTTCATAAGAACAAAGAAGAGAGAGACTAAACCAAAACCGCCCCAGTTTCATGATCGAATAATAAAAATACCAACTGCCTAGTAGCAAGGGCTAACTTTGTTTACCTGAGAACGTCAAATAATCTTCTAACTTCTTTCCATATTTCCTAATCATTAGCCAGTGAGTGAAGGTTCCAAAAATGGGTCTTTTTGATGACCATACACCTGGACCTAAGCCAAATGCGGCCTAGAATAGTGAAGTCAAAATAACAACACTAGTCAAAATGAGAAGATTTGTCTGATTTCCATCCACACTTTGCAATCATGATTTAGTATTACAGAGGGAAAAGTATGAAGGTCCAGTTTTTTTTCTCTATGACTTGCACTTCAGCATTTTGTTGGCATTTACTGGTGCCTTATACTAAACAACTTTAGTAAACATGGATATGTACTCAAGCTTTGCAGGAAAGGATCCCCATGAGTTGGCAGTACTGTGGAGGAAATGTAGGCAAGGAAGTGATGATTCTGAGTGTGATGCTTACAATGGGAGCCCATATACAAAACTCGGATGATGAAAGGTAGAATACTTACTGTCCAGACACTGCGAACAGACAGTCTGCTGTCGTCCACATGGCTTCACCATGCCCTCACCGGGCTGACACTGACGACAACACTCCCCACTGCTGGTGTACTGCCTTGAATTACAGGTTTGGGCGTGAGCGTTGGGCTCGATCGTCGCTGCCTGTAAGAGAGGAGACGGTGACAGGGATATGAGGACTCGCAGAGCTAGTGGCAGACTGTGACACGCACCAGAACACACAGAAAGCCATAGTGGCCACAGACAAAAGAAGGGAGAGATACATAAGCAGGCGTCTGGGGGCTGTTCAGAAAACTGGGTCTGGTTCTTCCCCTTGGTTGTCTCATCTTGAACCCCCACCCTGAGCACCACGCCTTAACACTCTCAAGGCCTGGCAGGTGCTGAGAGGCGAGCATGCTGCTTCGGGGTGCTGCCGTCTCACTCTCTAATGCTCTCTAAAAGCGTTTTAAACACCACCGCACCCAGTTCACTGCCACAGTGCCACCACAGACCCTGCGGAAACACTGTACTATGCTACTGTCTATGCCAAACCTGGGCATTTTATGGCCCGCGGGCCACATTCGGCCCGCTGACTTCCTTTGACCAGCCCGCGTAAGTTTGTAGTAAAAGTCTAGCGACAACTACTACTTTGTGATAGGTTCACGAAATACAAATACACGGCTTTTATTTTGAAGACAACTAAGTGACGTGACGTGGAGCGAGACCTGCCGGCGGCTGCAGCACCGGTTTAATGTCAGACAAAAAAAACTTACCATGATGCATTGCGTCAGGACCAGAATGCATTGCTGCAAGCGGCTACAAGAAGTTGAACGCAGCCGCTGTTTTTCTTAATTGAACAGCTTCCAAGAAATTAGCTCGTACTTCTTAAATATGTCAGCTAACAAGAAAAGAAAAATTGACGCAGAATGTAGAGTTTCTTTGTTGAAATCAAAGGTCAAGCAGTGTGCTTAGTGTGCTTAGTGTGGAGAACATATAGATAAAATCCTTGTTTAAGGAATATAATTTGAACACGGACAAAAATTCAAGAATTTCACTGATGCAGAGCGGGCTCGAGCATCGGAAGATTTGCTAGCTAAACTGCAAAAGCAACAAGGATTTTTTACAAAGCTCCACTCATCCAGGGATGCAGTCGTCAGGACCAGCTTTATGATATCCCACAAAATTGCAAGATACAGTAAGCCATTCTCTGATGGGGAGTTCATCAAAGATTGTTTGGTGGAGTGTTCAGCGCTAATATGCCCTGAGAAAAAAGACGCGTTTGCAAATGTGTCTCTCTCGAGGCGCACTGTAAAGAGGCGGGTCGAGAACATCACAGGGAATTTGGCGTTTCAAGTACAAAAAAACTGACAATTTTGTCTTGTTTTCCTTGGCTCTGGATGAGAGCTGTGACGTGCGTGATACAGCCCAATTACTTATCTTTGTTCGTGGATTGACGAAAGACTTTGAGATGGCGGAGGAGCTGGCAGCTATGCGGCCAATGAAAGGGACTACAACGGGGAGTGATTTGTTCACAGAGGTAAATGCAGCCATGGACACACTGGGACTAAAATGAGACAAACTGGTAGGTGTTACAACCGATGGCTGTCCAAATCTGACGGGGAAAAATGTTGGACTTTTGAGGCGGATGCAAGATAAAGTGACTGAAATTAACCCAGAACAGAAATTGATATTTTTGCATTGTATAATTCATCAGGAGATGTTGTGCAAGTCAGTGCTAAAAATTAGCCATGCTGTTGATGTTGTAACTAAAATAGTTCATTTCATCAGGGCAAGAGCACTGAATCACAGACAGTTTGTTTCACTGTTAGAGGAGCATGAAAGTGAACATAGTGACATAGGCTACCAGACAGCTGTGAGATGGCTCAGCCTTGGCAAGGTGCTTAAAAGAGTATGGGACCTGAGAGCAGAGATTCAGGAGTTTTGTATAAAGAAAGACAAGTACATTCCAGAGTTCTCAGATACACACTGGATGGCAGATCTGGCCTTTGCTGTTGATGTGACTGCACTAATGAATGCACTAAATACCAAGCTGCAAGGCAAGGGCCTCTTTGCACACGAAATGTACAGCTTGATGACAACTTTCATGAGAAAGTTGAAGTTTCTTTCAAGTCAATTAGAGGGCAACATTCTCACTCACATGCCAACACTGAAAGAAGTCGTACTATCAGCTGATCACCTCCACAAGTATTCATTCATGTTAGGGGCATTGCATGGTGAGTTTTCAAGAAGATTTGAAGACTTCAAAACAGCTGAGAGTGAAATGCACATGATTTCTTCTCCCTTTACTTACTGTATAGTGTGGATAATGCACCCAGTGATGTCCAGCTTGAACTCATTGATCTGCAGTCTGATAATCTACTGGCAGAGCATTTTAAGTCAGTATCACTGGTAGAGTTTTATTCCTCTCTTAAAGAGGAAATCTTCCCACACTTGAGGAGGCATGCTCAGAGGATGTTGGTTCTCTTTGTATCTACAGTACCTACATCTGTGAACAAACATTCTCAGTGATGAAGTTTAACAAATCCAGATATACACTCACCTAAAGGATTTTTAGGAACACCATACTAATACGGTGTTTGACCCCCTTTCGCCTTCAGAACTGCCTTAATTCTATGTGGCATTGATTCAACAAGGTGCTGAAAGCATTCTTTAGAAATGTTGGCCCATATTGATAGATAGCATCTTGCAGTTGATGGAGATTTGTGGGATGCACATTCAGGGCACGAAGCTCCCATTCCACCACATCCCAAAGATGCTCTATTGGGTTGAGATCTGGTGACTGTGGGGGCCATTGTAGTACAGTGAACTCATTATCATGTTCAAGAAACCAATTTGAAATGATTCAAGCTTTGTGACATGGTGCATTATCCTGCTGGAAGTAGCCATCAGAGGATGGGTACATGGTGGTCATAAAGGGATGGACATGGTCAGAAACAATGCTCAGGTAGGCTGTGGCATTTAAACGATGCCCAGTTGGCACTAAGGGGCCTAAAGTGTGCCAAGAAAACATCCCCCACACCATTACACCACCACCACCAGCCTGCACAGCTTTGGTGTCTCCTCTGTCTCCTCTGACCTCTAGCATCAACAAGGCATTTTCGCCCACAGGACTGCCGCATACTGGATGTTTTTCCCTTTGCACACCATTCTTTGTAAACCCTAGAAATGGTTGTGCGTGAAAATCCCAGTAACTGAGCAGATTGTGAAATACTCAGACCGGCCCGTCTGGCACCAACAACCTTGCCACGCTCAAAATTGCTTAAATCACCTTTCTTTCCCATTCTGACATTCAGTTTGGAGTTCTGGAGATTGTCTTGACCAGGACCACACCCCTAAATGCATTGAAGCAACTGCCATGTAATTGGTTGATTAGATAATTGCATCAATGAGAAATTGAACAGGTGTTCCTAATAATCCTTTAGGTGAGTGTATATATATATATATATTCCGGCCCTCTAAAACCATTCCAATTTCTCATGTGGCCCCTTTGGAAAAATAATTGCCCATCCCTGGTCTATGCAGCACCCTTACCATTCCACACGGGTCGCAAAAATGTCTGAAAGGGGCAGCAGGTGACAATTTAAAAAAGAATTATGGGTCTAAGGGGCTATTTTTGTAACCTCAAGCCAATTAATTAGTCATTTAAACATTCAGCACACAAAATCAACAATCTATGATACATATTTGTACTTTGAGCTAATATAAACCTGCTGTGCTAATTAAATAACAGCAGATAAAAACAGGTGATATAATGCAGATATTTTTTATTGCAGTAGCTTTTATCATACAGGATGTTTTTTACTGCATTCTGCTTTGGCAATGTTGATCTGGCTACTGTGTTCCATCTCCAACTCACCGCCCAAACCATCTTCATCCTAAATCTGCTGATGCCTTTTCTTTGGTATAATGGAACAAAGTCACAGGAAATAATGGCCATGCCAACACAGCAGCACCAGCACAGTCTGCAGTGCGCAGTAGGCAGAGTCATCGGGAGCCCAGGCTAGTGTCAGATGCAAACAAGTTCTTCATTTGACTCAAGTCCTTGGAATGCTGTTAGCGGAAGGTGACTCTGCTCAGGAGACAGCTGCCGTCCCCCTAGGCACCCCTGAGCACGCAGTCAGGTGGAATCAGCAATACTTCCTCTCTCTGCCCCCCTTAATTAACATAGCCAGCATTCCACTAATGCTGCTGCCATTGGAGATTAATTCTTCCATACCATGTCTTCAGATCAGGGACTAATGTTTTACAGACCCCAAGAACATCCAATGAGCTCTGAGACAGTCTCGGTACACTGTCATTGGGAAGCTTCAGCTATTTTACATTCCTCTTTCTTGGTTTGAATTTTGTGTGGCACTAATTCCTTGAATTAGTCTGGAGGCCACCTGGATTTCAATTAAAATCATAATCGTATTCAGCTGTGCTTTTTCCATGGAATAGACACTTAGTGATTTGTCTTGCTAAAACTTGCCGCACTTGGCTCCCTAACATGGTCCAATGCATTCATGCCTGTTGCAATGTGTTAAATGGTGCCACAGTATGATTAAGAAACTTACTATTCCAGGGGCTGGACTGAGAGGCAGAATGGGGCACCTGCTATTGTACTGCACTGTTTCCTGCTATGCTCCAGTCTAATCCATCCCATATTCCTATGTTTAACTCATCATGTAATGGGTTCTGGGGGGCTGTGGCATTGCAGTGGTTTGCACCATGGGCTGGCACCTCTGGGACCAGCGTTCAAGTCTCCACCCTGGCAAATGTACGCTAACAGGAACTGGAGTTGCCAAGTTGTCCATAGGTATGACCATGTGTGCAAATGGTGCGTGTGCCCTGAGGTTGGTTGGCACCCCATCCTGTGTTTCCCAAAAACACAGTTGCATACATTGTTGGAGTCATGCAACTGAATAGGTGTAAGTTGCTAATAGGAGGCTTTGGGAAATGCACCCCTGGGTTGTTCCCTGCCTTATGCCTGTAGCGTCCGGGATGGACTCCCGTGACCCTGCATAGGACAAGCAGATACAGAGGATAGATGGATTCACTTTTTGTTTACATCTCTCTTTTCTTTCATTCATGTATTATATAATTCAACCCGAAAAGTCCTCCCTGTTTAGAAATGAAATGCTCTCTTTCTCTCTGTGCAAAACTCCTGCTGCACTCTTGTTCCCATCATCAAAGTATGAGCACATGAGGAACATCTGCCCCCAAATCACCATGAACACTGCCAAGTGGCAGAAATTTCCCCTACCCAGTTTTTCAGCTGTTTGTTTGGATCTTAGTCAGCCTCAGGCTGGAGTTAATGCTATATTTTGTAAATACTTTTCTTGACTTTTAAGAAACCATCACACCCTGTAGCAATGGAATTTTTAACACATTCTTATCACGAGGTTGTAAAATCAGCTTGCTGAACTCATGCCTACTTTGCTCTCCCAACGCTGAGGTGCCTGATTATCACCAAACGGATGATCTTAACACTTTCTGATTCACATGATGGTATCTGAGTGCTTAGTTTGTCAGCACTGGTTATTTCTTACCAATGACAAGAAGGTCAGAGCCTGTTTCTGCACTGAACTGCACAAGTTTGTTTTCAGAACAGTGTGATCAGGGCTAAACCTTATGTGCACAGTCATGGATTTCCCATTTTAAGTATTTTGTTGAAGCTTTCAGTCACACACATGGTGTTGTTCTGCATAATCATGGTAATCATTTTCAATATTGTTATCAAGTAAGCAGGTATCTAAAAATATTTGCAAAACACTACCAATTTACTCAATCTAAACCTGAGTACATCACTTAAGTAAAAATGTATTGTCATTTAAAGTACAATGAATAACTACTGCAAATGTACACTGGCTTAGTGTTAATCGTCGCCTATTTGCAGGCATTAAGTAGCGATCTGTGCATCGCCTTGCACTTCTCCTCACTCCATACCACATTTTCAGCCTCTTAATTGTTTCAAAGCGAAAGTTCACCAGCTAGATTTTGCAATAAAAGAGAGGAGCATAAGCAATTTGAAAGTAAATCATTTCGTCCAAAGGAGTTAAGAAGTTACTCATCATAAATGAATTTTCTTCATTAAGTTAGAGACTCAATACAATGCTTTTTCGATTTACACCTATTATATGCAGGAAATACATCGTCTAAGGTGAGTTTAATAGTGAGACGAAATTTGATTAACGTGCTTAATTTGTATAATTTTACATATCCGTAACGGTGAATGTGTGGTGAAACTCAAGTTATTAAGAATAATACCAACAATACATAGCAATTTGCATGTCTGCAATAATAAAAATAATAATGATAATAATAATAATAATAATATAACAAGAAGGAAAACCGCATAGGCCTACATCATATGTCCAGAAAAGCAGCTGGAAGATTTAGATGAATGGATAGGCCTATGTATTTACAGTAGTCTAATTAGACCATAATATAGACGTGCTAAATTGATGTATGCTGATAAACACATTTTTAAGGCAGGGATACAGATTACTTCCTGCGACCAGTCCCTGCAGTGAAGGCGGGCAGACGAACACGCCCTCGTAATATGCAGCAGTGTCATTATAGGAGTGAAATTAAGAAGACGCTTTCTAGGTTAAGAACACACCCAGCTCATATCCTGCACACATTTTCCCTTTTGCCAATTCTCGTTAGTTATGCTGCATCTAAATTTTTGAAGCATTTGGTCCATGCTACCTGTCAAAAACCCAACTGGCCATAAACTTGAGCGTACACACGGGGGTCTGAAAGCATGGTTTTGTGGGAGTGACTATTCCATTAAACGATAAATATCCGATGTTGTATGGTTAGGAGTTTGAGTAAACTTAATTTTAATGCATTTATATAATTACATTACAACAATCTTATATATGATATTGTGTAAAGAAGATTAAGTGTGTTTCCATGTGTTGCATTAGATGTTATTCTAATTATGATTAGTAATGCAAGTTGTCTGAGTCCTCTTGAAACACCTGGTAGTTCAAACTTTTCGGGTGGAAAAATTTGAATTAAAGTAGATCATACAGCAGATCACACTGTCCGGGTCGTAATGACTCCCTTAATAATGTAGGCTAGCGTTTGAATCTTGCGCGCATTTCCAACCCGGGGAGCGCTGCGTTTGGAAAAACATTTCCTATCAAAGTAACCAGTTACAGTGCTTATGTGTGAGCCACGCAGAACTGTTGTCTCTTTAGCACATTTGGCGTCAAGTCTAATAAGGTTGCAAATCACGGAAAACTTACCGCTAGTAGCAGAAGCATTAAAATCGAGGATCCCATAATGAATGCGTAACTTCGCTAATTACTGATGTTTTTAATAGTCTCGATTGGCGAACAGAAATATTAAAAATGATTCATATATTACAATAAATAAATAAACATATTCAGGTGGTCTATCCAATACGTCTTAGGCTTCTGTTTCAGCTGGTCCTCAGAAGAATGAGATGTAGTCCCTGAACTTGGGTCGAGTTGCTTAGGACGCTTCTAGGAATGATATCGACCGTGGCAGGTTGTTGTACCAAGTTCTTCCGTCCGTGCGGATAACGAAAGGCGAAGACCAGAGATACAGATAGCAAGCCTTGCTCGTGTCTCATTAACACACGAACAGTCACCCCCCCTCTTTCGTGCTTTTCATACTTCGTCTACTAAGATACTCGTCTCTCTCTCTCTCTCTCTCTCTCTCTCTCTCTCTCTCTCGTTCCTCACTCACTCACTCACATATACACAAGCACACTCTCAGTATCCGATGAAAGTAAGAAGGCAAATTATTTCATTATAATAAATCATGCAATTCAAGCAAAATAATTCGGATCTTTTCTGAGTCTTTCTATCTACAGTTGCCATCTGTATGTCTACAGCTTATCTGCTAATAAATCATTTTGTTTATTTAAACAATTGAAACCTATAGTACAGCATGAATCTTGAAATTTCAGTGCTATCTCAGATGCAGAACAACGGTATTGCCATTCATAGGGGCCAATTACAATGTGTCACAAGAGGGCGACAATCTGCGTTAAAATGCCCGAACACCTCGAAATGACTTTCAGGTTTCTGTATCATGTTTTGTGCCGAGTCTCCCTCAGATGCACTACCGTTTCAGTCTTTATCTAAACATATATAAATTTTCGAAATTCAGCTCGAATGGAACTGCTTTATTTATTTTTTACTTATCTATAAATATAGAGATTTTGAGGTTATTTGTTTATAATATATACCCTCTAAACTTTTTCAGTATAAATACTGCAAAAATGGACGGATGTTTTAATCTAAAGTAAAAGGAAAGTGATATGAAGCAATAATGATTTGCAACATATGTGCAAAAACTGAGCTCCACCATGACTGACTGGTATGATTGTGCTGGAGCTTTTCTTTGTTTATTATACATTTAATTACTGAACAAGAATCTGCAAGTGTAAGAGAAGTGAGACAATGTTCAAAATAAACATTAAAAGATTAAAATAAAGTCTGAGAGAATACTACTAATGAGAGAAGAAAAAAGCGCAACAAGACCTGCATGTTTGATTGCGGTCTCCTAAAGGCTGATTAATTAATATTTTGATCATGGGACTGCAGCAGCAGATTCATAAATGCTGTTATGCCAAATGTAAGTGTTGAAGTCCAGCAGCATAAACAAATCATTTTGGGTGCTGAGAGAGTTAATTCAGATAAACGGTCTGTTAATATAAAATACACAAAAATAGTTAAGGAGTTCTTAAGCTTCTACCACTGGGTTATGTTCCAGTTCTTATGTAATAAACTTGTCCTTATATTAAATGACTTGGTGGGTCCCGTAATCAGTGAAGAAACCCTTGCAGGATTGGGGGATGATAAAGTATTTATGCCCCCCCCCCCCCCCACACACACACACACACACACACACACACACAAGTTGCTCGTACCTCACTTAAAAAAATGGGACAGAGATAATTGATCACTGACAGCTGGTGAGAGATTCAATCCCTTTACATAAGGGCCCCTTCTGCCCATACCTGCTCCAATCCCCATAGACACACTACGGCTCTGGTGAGACCCTGCTTTCAGAGAGTCTGCCTCAGTAAAAGGCCTCCTCTAGGATCAGGAGCAAGCTGCTTTTAGCATGGGGCTTGGGTTTCACTGGGCGGTGCTAACGTAAATGTTCAAATGATATCCTGTATTGATCTCCGGCTCAGTCAATTTGCCTATGCTGAAAATCCCACAGCAGGATCCGCAGTAATAAATGCATCGTTATTAGATAACCGAATATTCATTTCAACTAGATAACCCAATGGAAACCCCAGTGCTTCATTTTGTCTTTTATCACAGTTTCTTCACTATTCTGCTGCTATAGTTCCTACAGGCTTTTGTCCTTGATGTTTTTTGAGATATTTAGATATGAGTTTGGGGTGTAACAGCAGCTGCTAAATGATCAGCTTGCCTGGGAGCTGATTGTAAAAGCCAAAGTTGGGGGAAGCGTGCTGAATGGAGAGCACCATAGCTCTTAATGTCTGGCAGCAGTACAAAAGAGACTGAGCACCGTGTGTGTGAGGGACCAGCAAACCTGGGAGATGAGAAGAACCTGCAAACTGTCATCAAAAACCCAAGACAGAAGAGAAGATGTGGTGCTTGAGAAAACAACAGCAAACAAGGGAAACGGTGGCAAACACTTCTTACGAATCTCCCATTACGGCTTGCAGCCGATCTTTAAGTACGAGTCGTTTTCTGCCAAGATTCGAGAGGATTCTTTTTCTGTTTTACATTGCCTTTCTTATTATTTGAATCTGCTGTGAAACTGCACACTTTGAGTTCATTGAAAGTGTACAAACAGTACCAGTCAATGGCCAGACTGAGATGATAATAAGCTAAAAATCTCGCCTGTCTCGGCCTGATGTACATCCGCTAGAACGTTTGAGCCATAGATCAAATGATTGATCTGACTGGTGCACCAAGCAGCCAGTGAGAAGCAGACAGTTTAAAGCCAGAAGTGCAGCATCCTGTGCCCACAAAATCATGTAATCCTAGATGGCCTTTGCTCCTGGGTTGTTTCTGATTTCCGGGTAGGAGCTGACAATTGATTGTAATATGATAACTGACTCTGAATTTACCACTTTGTCTTCGGGGGCTGCTGTACCATGAGGCATGAAGTGACATTTTTTTTTTTTTACATTTGCAAGCTTGACGTCAAGTACCGACTTAAAACACTACTTTGATTTTGCCTCCAAATTAAGCTTGAGGTGTTTTTAAGGACACATTGTTTGTTAGTGTCATCCATCCATCCATTGTAACCACTTGTCCCGTTCAGGGTCACTGGGGGTCCAGAGCTAACAGGCGCAAGGTGGAACCAACCCAGGATGGGGAGCCAACCCATCGCAGGGCACACTCACTCACACACACACCTACGGCCAAGTTGGTGACTCCAGTCAGCCTTGGCATTTTTTTGGAGTGAGGAGGGAAAGCGGAGTTACCCAGAGGAAACCCCACAACGACACAGGAGAACATGCAAACTCCACACATGGAACCTGGGTGGAGGCTCAAACCCAGAGGCGTGAGGTAACAGTGCTAAGCACTTCAGCACCGTGCTGCCCCCTTGTTAGTGTTATTAAAACGTTTTGCTAGAATTATTGCTGTTATGCAGTAAGGAAACACAATATGCTATAACACTTCAATTCAACATAATATAATCAAAATGCTTAGGGTCACATTTTATATGATAATAACAAGCATTTTAGCACATAATCATATAATGTTTGTTCTTAATGTATATTAAAGCTGTTGTGGTACAGTAGGTTTGGATGTTAAGGTATACTTACATGCTGCTTATGAATGTTATATGAATGCATTATGAAGTTGCAGTTAATGAATAACAAAAGAGAAGTACTGGGACACGGCTTTCAATCACTGAATTCAGGTGTTTCATTCGGACCTATTGCCACAGGTATATACTGTACAATCAAGCACCTAGCCATGCAGTCAGGTTTAGAAACATTTGTGAAAGAATGGGTTGTTCTGAAGAGCCCAGTGAATTATAGTGTGGTACTGTCATAAGATGTCACCTTTGCAATAAATCAGTTCGTGAAATTTCCTCCCTGTTAGGTATTGCACAGTCAATTGTAAGTGGTTATAATGCAAAGTGGAAGCATTTAGGAACAACAGAAGCTCAGCCAGAAAGTGACAAACCACATACTGTAAAGTAACAGAGCGGGTTGCCGAGGACTGAGGAGCATAGTGGGAATAAGTCTCCAATGCTCTTTGACTCAATAACTGCAGAGTTTCAAACTTCCTCTGACATTAACTCCTGCACAAAAACTGTGCACCGGGAGCTTCATGGAATGGGATTCCATGGCTGGGCAGCTGCAAGCAAGCCTCACTTCTCCAAGAGTGATGCCAAGCATCAGATAGAGTGGTATAAAGCAAACTGCCACTGGAATCTGGAGCTGTAGAAACATGTTCTGTGCAGTGACAAATTATTCTTCTCTGTCTGGTAGTCTGATGGACAAGTTTGGGTTTGGCAGATGCCAGGAGAATGTTACCTGCCTAACTGCACTGGTGGAGGAGGGATAATTGTATGGGGTTGTCTTTCCCGGTTTGGGCTTGGCCCCTTAATTTCAGTGAAGGGAATTCTTTATGATTCAGCAAACCAAGACAACTTTGGACAATTCTATGCTTCCAACTTTGTGGGAACTATTTGGGGAAGGCCATTTTCTGTTCCAGCATGTTCCAGTGCTCTTAGCAAGGTCCATAAAGACAAGGCTGGGTGAGTTTGGTGTGGAAGAACTTGACTGGCCCATACAGAGCCCTGACCTCAACCCCAACTAGAATGGCGATTGCGAACTTGGCCTTCACATCCAACATCAGTACCTGGCCTCACAAATGCTCTTCTGGATGAATGGGCAAAAGTTCCCAAAGACACACACAGACACACTCCAAAATCTTGTGGAAAACCTTCCCAGAAGAGGGGGGGGGCAACTCCATATTCATGTCTATGGATTTAGAATGGGATGTCATAAAAGTTCCTCAGAATGTAAAGGCCAGGTGTCCCAATACTTTTTTCCATATATTGTATATTTAGGTGAAGAGGCACTATAAGAAACTGCTGTATGTTTGTGTGAATAGACTCCCCTCTCCCCTTTTGTGTGGTTTGCCAGCACAGAGCATTTGTGGTGTGTTAATTACCTCTCATACTAATGGATCTGATGATTAATTAATTAATGATTAATGCACTGCATCATGTTAGTTTGAAAATGGTGAGTGTCCTGTGTTTAGACTTCCTTTGTTTCTTTTGCTCTATATCCACTTCCCAAAAGTACTGTTACTGTAAATCATGTTTGGTTTGTTTCCATAAATTTACAGGCATTTAATTTCCATTATTATGTTTTTCACTGTTCTACAGAATTCTTAAATTATATAAAAGTACAAATTAAGACAATTGGAACCTGAACAGGTAAAAATATATTCAGTAGTTTATTTAAAATATTTTTTATGATAATACTTATAAATAAACTCCATCCAACTTCTATACCCACTTGTCCTATGCAGGGTTGCAGCCTATCATGGAAGCTACTGTACAGACACAAAACAGGCAATAACTCAGGTTGGGGCACCAACCATTCACAGAGCACATGCTAATGAACAATTTCATTGTCAAATTAACCTTAG